GCTTTGGGGCCAGGTAATTCTTTGCGGTGGCGGACTGTCCTGTGCATTGTAGGATATTTAGCAGCATCCCTGGCCTCTAGCTACTCAATGGTAGCAGTACCACCCCACTCTCATTTGTGCTACCAAAAATGTCTTCAGACATTGCCAAGGTCCCCTGAGGGGCAAAACCATCCCCAGTTGAGATCCGCAGCCAGAGATGAAGGAATACCAGCCATCACCCACTGTTTTCAGAGAATTGCTCAGAGGATTCCCAAGACACTAGACCTTGGCTGTCCTTGTTGAGGCCCTGAGAAATGAATGGCTAACTGAAGCTGCCTCTTGCCCTAATGTGAGCACTTTTGGGGGGAAACAAAAACACTGCCAAACTGCCACTCAGGCCTCTCAAATCCACTGAGTTCCTACAAGCTGAGCCCTCAGCAAGTCACTGCATCTACAAACACAAAGACAGCCCCTGTCCTTAAGAGAGAATGTCCTGCACCATGGTCAGTCAGACCTGAGCCTGCAACTCTGCAACATGCAATGACGTACTGTGTGACCTTAGTGAAGTTAGTCCATCTCTCTGAGCCTCAGTTTTCTGAACTATTAAATGAGATAATAATACATAGTGGACGCCGAGTACCTAAAACACATATGGCTCAATACAGCTTTAACAGGAGATCTTCTGAATGACCAGAAGATGGCACAGCCCTCTGGCACATATAAAGCCAACTCAAGAGAGTTTCCAGTTACAGGATTTCAGAGATCCTCACTCCACTTGCCAGAGGTACAACATCCTCTACCTACTGGTTACAGGGGTTGGCCCCCAACCCATCCTGGGCCAGTCAGAATAGCCCATACCATCTGGCCACAATGATTGGGGCATGGATGGGCCCATAACCCAACTGGGGCCAAATGGAGTCCTTCTCCGGGATTTGCCTAACTTGAGCAACAGTGGAAGCACTGCATTTCCTTCCTGGGCTACAGGCCAGGGATTCCTGTGGCCACGGACCCCAGGGACAGCCAGCCTGATGATGATGCCAACATACAGAAAGAAGCAGAAAAGGAGATGAAGAGGAGAGTGGAGGACACATCCAATGGCATTGGAGCCCCTGGTTTCTCCTATCCCAAGTATTGGTGACCCTGGCCCATCTATCCTTGATTATGTAAACTTCTCATTCTCTATTTTGCTTGAACTAGCTCAAGTTCAGTTCGTGTCACCTGCAACTGAGAGGATCCTAATAGATCCTATTTTGCAAATGAGAAGAGTCCCAGAGGAAATGTGATTCCCCAAGGTCACGTGAAGTTGGCCTGCCCATCTCCAAGTCTACCCAATTTCCATTCCACTCCACCAAAGGAAGTTTAGCAGAGGGAAACACCCAGGCCTCGACTCTTCTTTTGGTCTCTCTGGTGCTCAAGATCTGGCACCATCTCTTAAGCCTCCCTCTTTTTGATGTCAGAATCCCATGCACCCATCCAGGTTTGGCTCTGGAACATGAAGGGAAGCTTAACAGAGTCAAGAAGTGGGCAACAGCTCAACTCTGGGCTGCCTGCTCTGCTTGAAGAAACAAGCATGTCCTCAGAGTCCTTCATATTCATTAGTCTCTTCCTCATGACCAAAACAGTGCCTAGCAGGCCCTAAACATACCTTCAATGAATTAATCAAGCAGAGTCTATGGGGTGTTGGCATTGTGGTTTCCCCACCCTTTTTCTGAGGGCTTTTGGGTAAGCAGGTCAAACCCTACTTGTCCATAAGCAAAAGGCAGAAGAACCTCAGTTCTCATATTGAAAATGCGGGATAATCCTCGAAGGAAAAAACTAATCAAGTTGTGTTGGTGCCACTTCAAGATCTAGGACGCAAGACTTCTTTTTATGGGAGATAATAGGAATCCACTCACAGATTCCCTAAATAGAAAGGTAATGTGCTTTGAGAAAAAAAAGTGCCACAAGAGCCAAGAGACTCGGCCCAAGGACAACTGTGACACCTTGGAAAAATAACTAACCCCAAGGTTCATTTGCCTCCTCTGTAAAATGGGGCTTGCATAGAGCACCTTGATGGCTCCCTATCACCTCTAAGATCTGTGATCTACCCCCGGGTACTGGGGAGAGTGAAATGAACATGGGTCAAGCCACTAACACGCTCTAATGCAAAAGCTTTAACTTTACCTCCATCTCATAGATTCGTTGTGCACAGAGGTTGTCACGAGTAATCACCCGAGATAAGTGGCTCTTGGGTAGAAAATTTCTCATTGCTGCTTCACTGGAATTCATTAAGCTGGAGAGAGGAGGGGAAGGTGGTACAGGTTGAGATGGCTGAGGCCAGGGCTAGGCCTGGGCCTGATCTGATGGGGTCCTGGGGTAGTAGTTGAGGATTCCCCAGATTTCTCAGGAGAGGCACAGCTCTGTCATAATTATCAGAAGAGCAAGGGAGTAGACCCAGGTTTCTTCTTGTGGAAAACGTGCACTCAAGGGGTGGGTTTTGGATACTGAGAGGAAAAGCCATCCTGAAAAGGATGTAGAAAGGCCCAGAGCAATTCAAAAGAGAAGTGTCAACAGGGCCTGAGAACTCTCCTCGTCTTAAGGAGAAAATGAGGTTGAGGTGGGAGGCACCTGCTTCAGAGCCTAGGACTAAGGGGCATCTGAAGCGGGGAGGAGAGGTGGTCAGAGGAAACAGGGAAAAAAATGAATAAAGAGTTTGAACAGAGGTTAGGTTGGTTAATTAACAGGGGAATTCTAAGGGAAAAGGGTTTGGAAAAAGTCTAAAAAAGTGAGGAAAGTCTGGGGTAGACAAAGATTTGAGGAGACTGGGGGGTGAGAGGTAGAAGATGGAGTGGAGTAGGGTGGGGCGGGGTGGATTGGAGCCAGGCGCTCCAGGTGAAACCAGAGAGAACAATTTGGTCAAAATAAGGAATTGGTCAAAAATGAATAATATGGGCCGGCCTGGTGGTGCTGCGGTTAAGTGTGCATGTTCCACTTTGGCAGCCCAGGGTTTGCCAGTTCGAATCCTGGGTGGAGACATGGCACCGGTAGGCGTCCCACATATAAAATCGAGGAAGGTGGGCAGTGATGTTGGCTCAGGGCCAGTCTTCCTCAGCAAAAAGAGGAGGACTGGCAGATGTTAGCTCAGGGCTAGTTTTCCTCAAAAAAAAAAAAAAGGATAATACAAGGCACTGAGTTTTCACTTTTTGATAATTTAGTTACATCATGAAGCGGTTTTGCAACTATGTACCTTTAAATGTTTTTGCCCACTTAAAAATAATTGCTCATATCTTCTTTCTAAAATTTGGAAACTATATAAATATATAATAGGGAAGGAATTGAAAAAATTGTGGTTAGATCATACAATAAAATACTGTGAAGTTATGACTAAAACAGATATCCACAGTGTGTTAGGTGGGGAAAAAAAGCAGGTTACAAAATAGTAAACATTTTTGTGACATATTCCTCCCCCCAAATGTGTAAGCATATTGTAGTACATATATATGAATGGATCTGGAACAATATACACCAAAATGTTAACAGTGATTCTCTCTGGCCATTCACTTTGCTTGTCTGTCTTGTTTGATTTTTCTATAATAAATGTCTACTACAAAAAAGACAATTTTTAAAGGATAAAACATTTTGAAGGATTAAAAACATTTTTTCTATTTCATTTTCAGCCAATTTAGAACTAAGGTTTTATGAATGTTTTTACATTTACAAACTGGTAGAAACAAACAAACATCCCCAATCTCCCATTTATATTTTTCTGACAGCAAAGGTATGAGGTGGTGGAAAAGACTGGATTAGAGATCAAGATGCTCATGTACAAGTCCCCTAAATCCTGTTTAAAAAAAAAAAAAGCCTAAAATATTTAAAGTCACATAAAACACTCTTCACTCACTCAGTGCTGCACCAAATTTACCAATACTTCCTGGGAAGGAAAAAAGAAAGGCAGTGACTGGAAATATTCCCTTTCAAGTAATAACCATTTTGAACCAAATTGCTTTCTGTGGCAGCCTGGAGGATGCTGTCAGGGGGTTGTGAAATGGAAGTGGGAGGGGAAATGAGGGTCTGTGGGGTTTGGGGCCGGGCTGAGGGAACTGGGGGCTTTCCCAGAGCCACTGGGGCACGTACAGGTTGAGGAGAGGGGTGTCAGGCTTGAGGGGACCTGGGCCTCGCCACGCTCTAAGGAAGCTCAAGGCTCGGCCCAAAGGTCGCTGGGGACCCTCGGGTTACACGATGTCAAGCCTGGGAGCCTGTAGGGCCGGGCCATTTGGATGTGTGGGTCGGAGGTGGGATTTTCGGCTTCTCCCGGGGGTCCGGGCTGGGGGCGTTCGGGCTCCCGGGTTCCCGGCGGTGCGGAAGAGCTGGCCTGGGAAGGACCTGGGGCCGGATCTGCAAGAAATCCAGACTCTCCCAGGGTCTAAGAGAGGGCCGGGCTCTGAGGAGCACGAGGCTTCCGGGGAGCCAAGGCCGGGGTCCCAGGGGCGGGGGTCAGAGAGAGTTCGGGCTCCCCCAGGGGCGCCGGGGTCTGACAACCCCTCTGGGCACGCGGGCCCCACCTGAAGAACACCAGCGGCTGCGTGGTCCGCGGCCGCAGGAAGCAGATCTGAGGCCGGGCCCCTACGTTCACTTCGGGGCGGCTGGCGACCCTACTGCGCCGGAAGAAGGCCGAGGCCGGGTTGGTACCGGAGCTGGTGGAGGCCTGGGCGGCGTCCGCAGAAGCCGTGGACAAGCCCAGGTTCCATGTGACCGAGGGCCTGGCCTGCTGAGTAGTCTGGTCTTCCGCGCTCGACAACGACTCCGGAACCGCAGGCAGCTTGGAGGCCATGCTCGGCGGGCGGGCGCCGAAGTGGAGTGAGGGCCTGCGCAGGCGCGGTGCGCTGAGAACCGCCCGTTGCCCGGGAGACGCGAGAAGGAGGCAGGACCCAGGGGGCAGGACGGGTTCGCAGAGCCGAGAAGCTGCGGACGCGATAGGATTGTCCCTCGGCGGCCGCCGTGGGGCGAAACGGCGCGTTGCCGTGGAGACGGGCTGGGCGAAATGGAGTGGGCTGCAGAGCGCTGAGCTGACCCTACTTCTCCTTTAGGGCTGCCGTGGTGCCCGCCTGATCGCAGGGCAGGTAACCAGGTGAGTCCAGGCGGGGCAGCTCCGGGGCGGGGAGACGAAGCCGGGGTTTCTCCAAAGACCCGGCGCAGTCGATTCCCACACCCCCCCCCCCCCCCCCGGGGGACCGTTGCTATGGAAACCAGAGCGCCGGGCCGGCAGAGATTGTGGCTTCCGTGTCGTGACTCATCTTCTCTCTCCCCGAGACCCTCGACCAAGGTTTCGAGTGCGACTGCTTCCTGAACGAACCTGCCCTCCTGCCCGCGGGAGACAGGTAAGACTGTCGGAGTCTTGACACCGAGCAGGCGAAGAAGCCTATTCCAACACCAACTCCCCAGGAAACCTACCTGGCTCACCCCAGGAAGCGGCGCCCCGCTCCGGGCAACCCGTGAACCTTGTTCCACATTTATAACCCAGTATTAACAAACGCCCTGCGGTGTTTGCCGACGTTTTCCCACACAGAATGAGAGAAGAAAGTCCGGCCTTCGGACCTTGCTTTGTGACCCTAGACAGGTCCTTTTCCCCTCTCTGCCTCATTTTCCCCACGTGTAAAATGGAAATATTAACTCCAGACACCGGCCTGTTATGTTGCTTTGGAGATGTTACCAAAAGGGAAGCCAAAGGCTTTGTAGGCTATAAAATGGTGAATGTGAACTGCAGAGTCACTGTTTCTCCACCATCCTCCCCCTCGTGCTGAACGTTCTTGTTTGTGTCATTTCTTCAGGCGATCACTCTCTGGCCCCGAGCCTGAAATAAATCCCTTTATTCTTCACTTCCATGTTGCCCTGCGTTTTAACTTTCCTAACAACAGCAAGAATAGTTAGCATTTACAGAGGGCTCACTATGTGCCAGGCCCTGTATTAAACACTTTACCTGCATTACCTCATTTAGTCCTCCGAAGATCCTTATAAGGTAGGCATTGTTATCCCTATTTTCCCACTCTGTTGTGCCTGTAATTGCCTATTTGATGTCCCTCTCCCTCTAGACTTTGAGCTCTGTGAAGAAGGGGGCCATGGCTGTCTTGTACGTCTCGGTATCCTCAGCACCGAAAACAGTGCCTGATACATATTTCTTGCCTAGCATGAAGATGACTCTCCTCCCATCACTACCCTCATCTTAAAAAGCAGTGTCTCCTCTGCAAACTTCTTGTCGCTGTAATGAACAGCGGTCTCCCCTATTCCTGTTGTCCACTGGACACTAGTTTTGGGGGCCCTCAATCCAGTTCTCTCTGGGTTTTTGGATGATGAGGATCCAGAACATCCCTTAGCATTTAGGCCTCCACCTGGGTTTTGGGGGGCTTTTTCCCTGCCCTCACATGACCCTTAGAACAAACCAGCCCCCGTGGCCCTTCCTGGGGTGAGCCTGATACATTTGACTCCAGGGCACTAGCAGGTAGGATCTGCCTGTGCAACCTTTGGCCTTCTCTCCAGTAGCCTAGGAACCACCTGCCCCTCCACCCAGCCCCTCCCCAAAATTCTAGAGAAACATAGCCAGAGAACTCATCCTTTCCAGAGAACCTCTCAGAAGGCAGAGTCATGGTTGTTGGAGTCATTCCTTCGTTCAACAAATATTTATCAAGCACGACCTTGTGGGGACACTGAGTTTGGCACCAGTGATACAGTAGGAGTGAAGATAGGCACAGTGGTATCCCCATAGAACTCACAGACAGATCAAGGCAAAACCACATCTTCAGGAAGTGTTAGGAAGGAGAGCACATGGGGCCCGCCTGGAGCAGGGACTTAAGCAATTGTGGGGAGGGCTGTGGTCCCAGGTGGTTTCCCTCAGAAAGTGACCCTTGGCTAAGATCCCAAGGCTCACCAATCCTCTGCTGAATGGAACAGATCAGGATCTGACAGGCTTGGAAGGAAAGGGGGTTCTGGGCTGAGACAGCAGCAAAGGCAAAGGCCCCTGGCCAGAGAGGTGGATGTCCACATGGAGCTGCAAGTGGCTCAGCCTAGCTGAGGCCCTTCAGGATGTGGGAAAGGCTAATAGGAAGCAGGAGAGAGGGGTTGGAGCCAGGCCACAAATGGCCTTGACAGCCGAGCTAAGGGGCTCCATCTTATCCTGACAAGGAGCAGCTGCTGAAATGTATTAATCAGGGGAACAGAACTTCGGCTCCTCATTTTTCTGTGCTGGGTGAAGACTGCCATTTGGCCTTGAGAGGTTTGCTGTAAAACTGAATACTCCTATTTCACTGAAAGACGTGAAGATGTGCTATTTTTTTCAGCTTTACTCAAGACTGAGAGAGTGAGGGGCCTAGGATTTCTTAGGAGAAGGCAGGAGTCTGCCCCTCTCTGGGGTGCCTGCGACAGCCCTGCTGCACACAGCATTATGCTGGGATGGCTTGTCTACCTGAGGCCTCTCTGCACTTCCTCTTGGGGGCTGCTGTGGTGCCCCCAGGAAGCTGGCCTCCAGGAAGCTTTCAGCCACCGTCTTTGCCAGGCCCTCCTTGGGGGCAAGGTGCAGAAGTATGGTTAACAATGTAGTACTCTCTAACTTGATGTCAGTTTCACATGGGCACATCCTGTCTCTTCAAAAAAGATGGTTCTTGGAGGGGAGAAGCTGAGACCCTCCTCTCTCTTATACCTCCAGTGACGCCCAGCACAGTGGGCTCTGTTTCCATGTCACTGATTCAGAATCTCATGATTTGAGCATAAAATCAGAAGACTGAGGAGGGAGACGATACAAGTGGTTCCCATTAGAGGGGCTGGAAGGAAGGAGAGAATTTTGAAGAAAAGGGAGAGGACAGCTGTGTGAGCCTAGATGGAGAGTCAGGCCAAGGCACAGCTTAGGGACACAAGTCAGCCTGCCCAACTTGAAATGTGGGGTTGCTCAAGGGAGGCCTTGAGTGCCAGGCTTGGGGGCACAGCCTTTGTCCTGTAGGGCAACACATGTCAGATCTCCTGAGAAGCATGCTGAAAATGCAGATTCATGCTCCTCACTCCGAGAGCCTACTCTGTGGGTTTGGGGAGGAGCCTGGGGATCTACATTTTTGATAAGTTCCCTGGGGAATCCTTCTCAGATGGTCAGAGGACCACTTTGGGGAATTCTGCTATAGGCCAATCCATCCATTTCCCAGAAATCCCCTGGGGTTGGCCTGCTGGCCCAGCTGGGCTCCTGCCCTCTAAACATTCTCTCCCTTCTTGCAGTTTTCCATGACATAGCCTGGCAGAAAAATGCAGCCTTTATGCCTCACTGGCCGCTGACCCACCGGCCTGATGACAGCACCCCCGTGTACCTTCCCGGTTCAGTTCCGGCAGCCCTCAATCAGTGGCCTCTCACAGATCACAAGCAGCCTATATATCAGCAATGGGGTGGCTGCCAACAACAAGCTCATGCTCTCCAGCAACCACATCACCACGGTTATCAACGTCTCAGTGGAGGTGATGAACACTGTATACGAAGACATCCAGTATGTGCAGGTGCCTGTGGCCGACACACCTGTCTCGCGTCTCTTTGACTTCTTTGACCCCATCGCTGACCACATCCACAGTGTGGAGGTGAAGCAGGGCCGCACGCTGCTGCACTGTGCTGCCGGCGTGAGCCGCTCAGCCGCTCTCTGCCTCGCCTACCTCATGAAGTATCACGCCATGTCCCTGCTGGACGCCCACACGTGGACCAAGTCGTGCCGGCCCATTATCCGGCCCAACAATGGCTTTTGGGAGCAGCTCATCCACTATGAGTTCCAGCTGTTTGGCAAGAACACTGTGCACATGGTCAACTCCCCTATGGGAGTGATCCCTGACATCTATGAGAAGGATGTCCGTTTGATGATTCCGCTGTGAGCCATCCCACCAGCACCTGCACCAGGGCCAGAGGTACAGATCTGTCATTGATCCAACACCAAGATCTGAACTTGAACATTCTACTTTTGTTGATAAAGAAAAATCCAGATGATGCCTTTTATAAGGGCAAGGACAAAGGAAGGGTGCTGCCGCCTTAACCTCGTAATCCATATCTTTAAAGATGAGACTTACTAAATGTAAAATGATGAAGGTGAGTTTCCTACCCTGTGAGTGACTCCTGGCCAGAGGGGAGGGTGAGGCTGATGGTGCCCAAGTCAAATAGACCAACGCCCAATGTGTTATGGCAAGCCTGGGACCCTGCAGCCGTCCCCGAGACCGACTAACCCAGGAAGGGGTCTGCCACAGTCCCACTTCATTCTTTTTGAACCCAGAACTAGAACCTTAAGCATCATGACACCTCCTGTGCTGCTCACAGTAAATGCCAACCTACTGGATAAGTGGCCTTCAAGCGGTGCTCTGGGGGCCCCAGGCCAACCCTGCTTCCACCTTCAACCATGGGAGCCCAACTCTGTTTTTCTAGATTGGACTTACTCATAAGATAGTTTTCAAAGAAAGCATTCAACTGTATAAAAACTCTTAAATTTTTTTGAGTGCTGTTATACATGGCCTCAAAGTGCCCTTGGTGACCGCCTACCAGTCTTTGATGAAATGTAGCATTAGTCTCCTTCTCTGGGCCACGTGTGGAGAGTGGACCTGACATTAGGCCTCAAGGATTCCTCTCACAGGCCTTCACTCAGAAGGCTCAAGCTGCGGACCGGATCCTAGCCTTGTCACTTCCTCCCCATGTGATCTGGAGTGCCTTGGAGCCTCGGTTTCCTCATCTGTCCAAGCAATGACAGCCGTTTCTCACAAGGTTGTGGAGAAGATTCACCGATTCCTTAGCGCAGTGCCTGGCATGTGGTAGGCGCTTAGTGTAACCAGCAGCTCTCGCCATGAATGATGCTCTGGCCCTGCTGGTCCAGGTCAGCACAGTCGTTCTCATAGCATCATTTCCCCCATTGGTGCACAGCCCTTTCCTGTTTACAAAATGCCCTTCCAAAAAGTCATCCAGTGTGGAAAAAAAAGAAAATGGTTTGAGTCCTTTCAGACCCCGCCTTAGAGGAGGCCTAGACTTTGAAGCCTTTAAAATCAGACTTCCCATTTTGTGTAATCAGTGTGCAACCTGGGGGTCCTAAAGCAAGGAGCACACTTCCAGCTTCCCCTCAAAAGGCCTTGTTTAGATCACTGACCATTAGAGCCAGTGTCCTGGTCCGGCTGACCCACTGGGGTCCACAGGGGCACATGCCAAAGAGACAAGTAAGTGAACCCTATGTAGGCCCTGAAATCAGGATTGTTCAGATCCCCCAGGGGCCTGAGGATCTGGCTCAAGTCCAGCTATTCTAATCCAGAGGTTTTCAGACAAACCATAGCTGAGAGAAAAGCACAACTACTCAGTGGGTCCAGAGCGGAGTAGAGGTGGCGGCCAACTGCCCTTTCCCTCCAAAGCCACCTCTCCCACACTCCCACAAAGGCGTGCGCAGGGGTGCAATTTTAGGGTCGGGGAAGAGGAAAGTCACTGTTCTAGACTGATCTTCTCATGTTACAGATGAATAAACAGACCCACAAGCACCAGGGCTGGTGTAGCAGAGCCCTCACAAAGCAGCCTTTCTGGAAGAAACCCAGATGGAAAATTTCTTTTAAAGCATTTTTAAAGAGAAGTTTATTTGGATATATATTGTTTCCATTTTTAAAATTTTTAAATTATCATACCGTAAAATTAACTTGTTCATATATACAGTTATGTATGTTTTAACACATTTCATGGCTACCTCTACAGTCAAGAGAGAGCAATTCCATCACCCAAAAAATTCCTTTATGCTGCTCCTTTGTATTCAGACCTTTGTCCCACCCCAGTCTCTAGCAAACACTGATCTGTTCTCCTTCCCTATAGATTTGCCTTTTCCAGAATGTCACACACATTCTGGATTACATCCTAAGAGGATGTAATCTCTGGAGACTGGCTTCTTTCAGTGTAATATCTTTGCGATTCATACATGTCACTTTTTATGGCTAAGTAGTATTCCATTGTATGGATATACCACAGTTTTTTTACATTCATTAATTGAAGGCTATTTGGGTTGTTTCCAGTTTGGGGCAATTTTGAATAAACATTTATGTATAGCTTTTTATGTGAACTTAAGTTTTCATTTATCTAGGGTATATACTTCGGAGTGGGATTGCTCAGTCATGTGGTAAAGGTTATGTTTAACTTTATAAAAAACTACCAAATTTCCAGAGTGGCTATACCATTTTGTGTTCCACTATGAGATCCAGTTTCTCTCCAGTATCTGGTATTGCCAATATTTTTTACTTTAGCCATTCTGATAGATGCATGGTATTAGGTCATTTTGGTTTTCATTTGCGTTTCCCTAATGGTTAATGATGTTGAGCATCTTTTTGTGTGCTTAATTGCCTTCCATATACCGTCTTTGGTGAAGTGTCTGTTCAACTCTTTTGTGCATTTCTAAATTGGGTTTTCTCACTGTTGAGTGTCGAGAATTCTTTATATGTTCTGGATACAAGTCATTTGTCAGATATGGATTTGTAAATATTTTTTCCCAGTCTAGCTTGTCTTTTCATTCTCTTAAAAGTATCTTTTGCAGGGGCTGGCCCCGTGGCCGAGTGGTTAAGTTCGCGCGCTCCGCTGCAGGCGGCCCGGTGTTTCGTTGGTTCGAATCCTGGGCGCGGACATGGCACTGCTCATCAAACCATGCTGAGGCAGCATCCCACATGCCACAACTAGAAGGACCCACAACGAAGAATACACAACTATGTACTGGGGGGCTTTGGGGAGAAAAAGGAAAAAATAAAAAAAAATCTTTAAAAAAAAGTATCTTTTCAGAGCAAAAGTTTTTAATTTTGTTAAAGTACTACTTACCAATTTTTCCTTTTGTGGATTGTTGTTTTGGGGGCTTTTTTGCTGAGGAAGATTGGCTGTGAGCTAATGTCCATTGCCAATCTTCCTCTTTTTGCTTGAAGAAGATTCTTGTCCCTGAGCTAACATCTGTGCCAATCTTCCTCTATTTTGTATGTGTGTCACTGCCACAGCATGACTTGATGACTGGTGTAGGTCCACACCCAGGATCTGAACGCATGAACCTGGGCCACCTAAGCAGAGTGCACCGAACTTAACCACTACGCCACAGGCCAGCCACCTATGGATTGATGTTTTGGTGTCATGTCTAACAACCCTTTGCCTAACCCTAAATCACAAAGATTTTCTCTAATGTTTTAAAGTTTGAGAGTTTAAATTTTTCACTTATTTCTGTGATCCTTTTTTATAAGATGTGAGGTTTAGTTTGAGGTTCACATTTTTCCATATGGATGTCTAATGGTTTCAGCTCCATTTGTGAGAGACTATTCTTTCTCCACTGAGCTGCCTTTTCACTTTGTGTAGGTCTATTCTTGGACTCTTTATGTTTTGTTTAATATGTGTGTGTTTCTCTTCACCAATACCACACTATCTTGATTACTGTAGCTTTAGAGTAAGTCTTAAAATAGAATAGTGTGTCTTCTGGTTTTCTCCCTTTTAAAAAAATTGTTTTGGTTATTCTAGTTTCTTTGCCTTTCCATATAAATTGTAGAATAAACTTGTCTATATCAATAACAACAAAAAAACCTGCTGGCATTTCAATTGAAATTGTGTTAAATCTGTTGACCAATTTGGGGGAGAATTGGCATCTTCACTCTGTTGAATCTTCTGATCCATGAACATAGTATGTCTCCCCACTAATTTAGGTCTTTGATGTCTTTCATCAGTGCTTTGCAGTTTTCAGCATACAGATCTTATATGTTTTATTATATTTATACTTAAATATTTCATTTGAGGAAGGACATTGTAAAAAAAATATTTTTATATTTTGGTTTCCAGTTGTTCATTGTTAGTATATAGATGTATAACTGATTTTGTGTTGACCTTGTATCTTGCAACCTTGCTAAATTCACTTATTCTGAGAGCATTTTTGTAGATTCCTTAGCAGTCTACATTAAGACAATCATGTCATCTGCAAATAGAAGTAGTTTTATTTCTTTCTTTCCCATCTGAATGCCTTTGATTTCTTTTTTTTATTACACTGGCTATAACTTCCAGGATGATGATGGACATGAGTGGTGAGAATAGACATTCTTGCCTTGTTCCTGATCTTAGAAAGAAAGTGTTCAGTCTTTTACCATTAACTATGATGTTAGCTACAGAATTTTTGTAGCTGCCCTTTGTTAGGTTAAGGGAAAGTTGGAAAGTATTCTCTCCGCTTTTATTTCCTGGAAGAGATGTGTGAATTGGTGTTATTTCTTCTTTAAATGTTTGGTAGAATTTACTAGTGAAACCATCTGGACCTGGAGATTTCTTTTTCAGAAAGATTTAACAAAGAATTCAATTCCTTTAATAGTTAAAGGACTATTCAAATTATCTGTTTCATCTTGGGTGAGTTTTGGTAGTTTGTGATTTTTGAAGAAGAGATCAATTTCATTTAAATTGTCACATTTATGCATGTAGATTTGTTTGTAGTATTCCCTTATTATCTTTATTATTTGCAGGGTCTATAGTAAAATCACCTTTTCATTCTTCACACCTATCATTTGTCTTCTCTCTTTATTTGTTTGTTAGTCTGGCTAGAGGTTTATCAATTTTTAAGATCTTCTTAAAGAACTACCTACCTTGTGTTTTTTATTTTCTTTATTATTCTTTCCTTCTCTATTTCATCAGTTTCTGCTCTTTATTATTTCCTTAATAATAAAAAGGTTCTGCTTGCTTCGATTTTATTTTGTTCTTTCTTCTAATTTCATAAACTGGAAACTTAGAATATTGATTTGAGATCTGCATCCCACAAATTTTTATATACTTCATTTTCATTTTTGTTCATTTCAAAATATTTTCTAATTTTCCTTGAAATGTTCTCCTTTACCCATGTATTATTTAAAAGTGTGTAGTTTAATTTCTAAGTATTTGGAAATTGTACAGCCATCTTCCTGTTGTTGGTTTCTAGTTTAATTCCATCATAGTCAGAGAACTATTGTCAGAGAATATTGTATAATTTCATTTGTTTTTAATTTGTTAATGATTACTTTATGATATAGGATATGGTCTATATTGGTGAATGCTTCATGTGCACTTTGGGAAAAAAAGGTTATTTCGGATGGAATGTTTAATAAATATCTATTAGGACCAGTTGATTGGTGGTGGTTTCAATTCTTTTACACTCTTCCTGATTTCCTGGTAATTATTCTGTTGATTACTGTGAGAGGAGTGTTGAAGTATCCAACTAAAATTGTGGATTTGTCTACATCTCCTTTCAATTCTATTAATTTTTATTTCATGTGTTTTGAAGCTTTATTGTTAGGTACATACATATTTAGGGTTGTTATATCTTCATGGTGAATTGACCATTTTAACAGTATGCAATGTCTCTTTATCCATCTTCATGTTTTTTTCCACCTTGATTTTTTTGCCCTTTACTTTGTCTGATATTAATATAGCCACTTCAGTTTTGTTTTAAGTAGTATTTACATGATATCTCTTTTTACCTCTTTATACTT